CTTCTTCTGGGCTCAGCAGAAGCACCAGGATCAGTGCTGCTTTCCAGCTGATTGGTGCTTCTTCAGGGCTCAGCAGAAGCGCCAGGATCAGTGCCGAGCTACAGCTGGAGCCTGGCACTGATCCTGGTGCTTCCGCTGAGCCCTGACAGCTCTGCAGCTCCAGCCATCTCTCGCTCAGGCTTGTGCGGTGCTGCCACTGGTTCAGCTCACTCCCCTCCCCCTCTACCACTTTTCTAGGATGGTCGCGTACCACCTGCCAGGTGCCAATGTACCACAGGTGGTACCCATACCACTGGTTGAAAAGCCCTGTTCTAGAGCACTACCTCAAGCCTAGTGCTCTGTAGTTATGTAGGAATACAGGTCCCATTATCCTTTGTCAGCCATCTGGAGGGCAGTGGCTTGAGGAAGGAATTTGGGAATATGGACCCAGGCTCTGGGGAAAGCAAGGTTGGTTCATCAGTACTGCCTGTGTTCAGACATGCTTGATCATGATAAATAGAGGTTAAGGCACAACCCAGACAGAATACACCTAGTGCTGGATTTCTGCAGCCAACATTCTGGTTGCATGAACCCAACTAGTGGGAGCCACTTGGTTTGTAATGGGTGACTTCCTGGCTTCCAGATGCCTCCACTCAAAGGTTGAGTTTAATTTGCTACAGCTTTCCTTGCTGCTCCGAGACTGCATTCTCACAGCGTGTTTTGCTTACTGACAAATGATGCTTTTTCTGGCTTCAGGCAATAATAATTAAGTAACCAATGGAACTGGGTTCACATATAACATGCCAAAGTCACTCGCTGAAGCTAAACAAACCGAGATGTTGTGAGAAGAAGTATTTTCTCTCCTGCTCAAGCCTTTTGTGCTGAGAATCTCTTTTCCCTGGGGATGTTTTAGGATGTGTGACCACCTTGGGGCTTCCCCCCCACACACAAAAAATTTCTAATACTGTAGTTTCATAAAGAATGCTGCTGAGAGAGGGGCACTTATAGCTTTAAGTCAGGTCTTCCCTGCC